GAGTTCAAATCCCTTTCTTATGTGCTTGTCCTTAACACAGGTTAAAGCTTTCTGGATTTGAAGTCAAAAATAAAAGGAGAATATGAGCAACCAGAACTAACATGGTGAGGTGGTTTGAATTGGATTCCATGCCCCAACCCTGCCACACACCTGGTCTCCAGCATTTGAACACTTACTTGGTGCACTATTTATGGGAGTTTGAGCACTATGTTGCTGTGGAATATTATTTTAGCAAGGTGAGGGTGTGCTATATTTGTTTATGCTGCAGAATAATGCTGTAAGTGTGTAAGGATGTGTCACTTTTGTTCATGCTGCATTTGTTTCACCTTGCCCACTTAAGGCACCTAATTTGTCTAAGGGAGAGCTGAATGGCAATAACTAGGCAGAGAATGACTAGGTGGGGCTGCCAGGCATAGAGAATAAATATGAGAAGAAATCCAGGCTAAAAATGAACAAGAGAAGAGGGGAGAGAATGAGGGGAACACAACCAGGGCAAGAAGCCAGGTTAAAAGCCACAAGGCAAAAAGGCAGAGCAAGAAAAACAGTTTACTTTAAGTTAAAAGAGCTAGCCAGAGTCTAAATTAGGCCGATCATTTGGGCTTATGGTCGTAGCTTGGCACAGTATGACTTTGATGGGACAAGTATGTCACTGAGGATGGTCTTAGAAAGTTAAAACCTCAGGCCTCTTCTAGCTTGCTCTCTCTACTTCCTGCTTACATTGGAAGGTGTGAGCTCCCAGCTTCCTGCTTCAAACAGACTACATGCATGCTGCTTGATGCCATGTCTTCATGCCATGATGGACTCTTATCTTCCTACGACCATAAGCCCAAATAAACTGTATTCTAGAAGGTGCCTTGACAGTGGTATTTTATCACAGCAATGGAAAAGTAACTGTGTACATGGATTTTGAGGGATGGAAAAACTTGAAAACTAAAAACAATAAAATTCTTCATCTGCTTAATTACTAGCCCTCTCATCATGTCTATCCTTCTCTCTCAAGCATGGTAAAAAGTTCAATGAAAAGAACCAACATGGAAATTTTAGCTCACTAACATTAGTAAGTGTCAAATTACCATAGGGTATCCCATAAAAATGCATAAACATTATGTCTCATTAATTTCTAATAGTGATCATAAGTGTGAAATAGCTTGACTGCAGGCTCCAGGCATACAGTGAACTATTCATGATCGAATTTACCTATTATAGTTTTTTTTAAATTAAAGGCACTCTTTTTCTTTTTGGAGGGATGATGCTTAAAGCTGAAAGAAGTAGAGCCCAAACTACATTAGGCACTCGCAATTATTTGGCTTTTAAGCCCACGACTAAGGCCTCTTACTAGGCACACACCAACGCTAAAATAGTTTGTCACAACACTTTCTGGAAACTAATTAAAAAAAGATTGCATTTGGCTGCCTGTACCACACTTTTATAGCAGCCAATCTTTAGGCAAAGCAGACACAGGAAGCAGCAGGAGAAGGTAGGTGGTTCTTGGCACTTCCCTAATCAAGAAACAATGCATATCGTGTACTTGTGTAATAGGAGCCAGCATTAGTTTTCCAAGG